TCGAAAACAGCACGTAGACGCGGCTCAGAAGGGAAATCGGTCTGTAGTTCTTCAAGAGAGCGTTGTCGCCTTTCTTGAAGAACAAGACCACCGCACTTCTGCTCCACGCCTCCGGTGTAATGCCACCATGGAGGACGGAATTAAAGAGCTTCTGAAGGACTTCAAGTACCGGTCTTCCACCCGCTTTCAGAAGCTCCGCTGTAATTCCATCCTGGCCTGGGGCCTTGCCGTTTTTAAGGTGCTGGAGAGCCATACTAATCTCGCTCAGACTGACGTCCGGGATATCATTGGAATAATGTCGGATAAGACTCGCTCTTGGATCGTTACTCACACTTGCGTGTGGCTCCAACGATGACGTGTACAGCTGCCCATAGAACCTCTCAATCTCACTCAAAATCTCAGGTGCCCCGGAAACAATGCTGCCACATTCGGTCTTCAGCTTTGACAGTTGGCTCTTTCTGGCAGACAGATCTCTGGCAAAGACTTTGGAGCCTTGGTTCCGCTCGATCGCTTCTTCAATACGAGCTGTATTGAAGTTGCGTAAGTCCCGCCGCATGCATTTGGAGATCTGTCTGTTCAGTTGCCTGTATGCTGTCAAATCTGTTGAAGAATGTAGCTTCATCTCCCGTCTAACAGCCATGAGATTAAGAGTGTGATCGGAGAGTTTTTGTGTTCTTCTGCGGCGGGTCTTGCAGAACTTAGCTCCGACCGCATGGACAGTTTCCACGAGCTTGTCATTCAAATCGTCCACTTCATTGCAGTCTTCTAGGCACTGAAAACGGTTTTGCAACTCGAGCTGAAAGGTTTCGGGACTTTGGATTAGAGCACGAGGGGGACGGAGCGTTGACTTCATTAGACGAGACCTCTCCAACTTAACGTTTAGGTTCAGTGTGCCTCTAACCATTCGGTGATCGCTGCCGGTTTTCACCCTCGCGATCACTGAGACATCACTGAACAGTTGTCGTCTGGTCGTCATAATGAAGTCAATCTCATTTTTTGTCGAACCGTCAGGGCTCGACCAGGTCCACTTCCTGTGGGGCCGCTTCTGGAAGAAAGAGTTCATCATAAAGAGTCCCTCTTTCTCCATGAAGTCGGCCAACTGCTGGCCCCTTGGGTTCCGTTGCCCTATTCCAAATTTCCCCACTTTCAGCTCACCGTTCTCTCTTGTGCCTAGTTTTGCATTGAAGTCTCCCATTAACACCGTATATTGGGTTTTGGAGGAATGCATGGCTCTAGAGATATCCTCATACATTTCCTCCACCTCCTGATCGGGGTGTGCCGAGGTTGGTGCGTAAACCTGTATGACCTTCAGCGAATACCGTTTGGTGATTCTGAGTATAAGGTACGCAACCCTCGTCGACACACTCTCAATCTTTACAACGTTGTTAACGAGAGACTTGTGGACGATAAATCCGACACCTCCTTGGGACAGATGGTCGCCCTCCCGGTGATAGAGCAAGTTGCCGGATTCGAGGATTACCGTGTCCTCCCCCTCTCTTCGGACTTCGGATAATCCTATAATATGCCAGCGTAACTTGTCTATCTCTTCTTCCAGCTCCACAATCTTCTCGTCAGTCCTCAGGGTGCGTGCGTTGTATGTTGCCAGGTCGAGTCGTTGTAGGTGGCAACCGAACCTCCACCGGAGATTCTTAGCACCCCCTGCCCCGCCGTTACCATGGTCGCCACCGTAGCCAGGAATAGCGGGGCCGCCGGGGACTGGGGGCCGTCTCTTCGTAACTTTCATTATGGGGGGGTATATTGCCATAGTTGCCACGCTTGGCGAGCGGGTTGGCAACCGCAGTTTTTTATTGTATTTTGTCGTTACCAGGAAGATGCTGCTGCCCATCTCCTGCCTGTTTCCCTTTGTCGCCTTTTACGACACCCACGGGAAGATATGGGGTAGTGGATATTCTTAACCGCCACTACACGGGATTTTATAGTAAGGAATAATAATTAATTCGTTTACACGAATTAATTATCCAACGAGTCGAGGATAAACTAGTAAGGGAATACGACAAGCGCACCGTTCAACGTCAGAGCCAAGACTGTCCTAACGGCGGCCGCTCCGTCCATTTTATACAAACAGGACGGGCGGCACCGCAGGTGCAATGCCGCAGGTGTGCGGTACACGTGTCGTTTACAAGAATTCTGTCTAGCTAGACCGGCGCCGCCGCACCTGCAATAGTGCACGTGCCGTCATATATATATATATATATATTTGATAATTATATAAGTATATATACACATATATATGTGTGTGCTCGTCTTGTATATATGTATATTAAATATATGTATAGTATAGATGTTTAGTATTAAATATAACACATATAGAATACTTTATTATATTACAACTTTTATTATTTTTTGATTTAATTTTGTAAATTTGTTAAATTTGTAAAGTTGTTTACTTTTCTTTTGTTTCAACAATGAAAACATGCATAGTTCTTTTAGTATTACCCGTTCTTTTAGTACAACTCTGGGAGAGGCCGCTGATTCCTAAGATACAGACTCGTCTAGTTTAGGAGTCAGAGACTTCATAAAATTTCTTGTGATTTATTTTTGACAATAAAAGAATTATTATTATTATTATTAAGTCCTCACGGCACGGGTGACAGTGCATTCATATACTTCTTTGTTTGAAGTTAACAGCAGGCGTCCATAAAACGCATTAGCCACTTACCATCGGGTGGACTATGAGTTAGTTTGTCACTTAATTTTATTTTATAAAAAAATTGCGTGAGTGTCGTGGAACGAAGTTCCTTGCGTAGTGTATTATTATTGATAAACGTAGGTATTATATTATTGATTAACAAATACAAATAAATGAATTAGGTACTAGCGTCTATTAAAATGAAGCGTCATTTGAAATAAAATAATATTTGTTTCATGGCATGATAAGAAAAAGTGCGAGGGAGACGGATGTTATTCCATCTCACTTCCTTATATCGTCGCCAAGGCCGTCTACACTATTACACAGGGAGTAGTGACGAAAAAATCTTACACTTTTTGTCGCCTAGCTCCCATCCGCCAAACCCGTACCGTCTGATAAGGAACTTCGTTCCAAAAATCCGCCCGATAGATAGAGAAACATTGACAATTATATGGGGTAGTATATATTAGGCAGTAGCTGAACCTTTGATATACTACGATCCATGAAATAAATTATTCTGATTCTGATTTTATAATGACGGTGATGTTATAGGAGATCATTAGACGTCATATGTCGGAGACCGTGAGACCTTTCTCATATTTCCCATATTCACTTCTTACGATACTTATGTAATCAAATGACGATTTCAACATCTCTTTTCTTGTCTTGATAGGGTTCTTCGATCTTCCTCTAATAACAAGATTTATATTCCTACTCATCTCACCGTTGTTCTATGGTAACTCCTTCACTGTTCAGGCTGCACGTCTTTGGAATTCCTTGCTTGATGATATCAGAAAAGCACCTAACATATACTCCTTTAAAAAGGAGATACGCGAGTATTTACTGGAGAATCATTAGAATTACAATATTGTTAATTATTCGTATTTATATGTATATATTAAGTTTGTATATATATATATATATATATATATATATATATATATATATATATATATATATATATATATATTGTATATATATATATACAGCCGTCTTGCGAAGGGCTGTAATGATAAAGACGATGATAATGATGCTATCAATACTATTTGGAATAATGTTCTAAAGTCCGATGAACGTTATAGTGGCAGTTTAGGTATGTTCGTATTCTGAAATATAACTTTGACTTGAAACACGCATAATATATTTATATGTATATATTAAGTTTGTATATATATATATATATATATATATATATATATATACAAACTTAATATTTTAAGAGGGTGAAAACCGGCAGCGATCACCGAATGGTTAGAGGCACACTGAACCAAAACGTTAAGTTGGAGAGGTCTCGTCTAATGAAGTCAACGCTCTGTCCCCCTCGTGCTCTAATCCAAAGTCCCGAAACCTTTCAGATCGAGTAACAAAACCGTTTTCAGTGCCTAGAAGACTGCAATGAAGTGGACGATATGAATGACAAGCTTGTGGAAACTGTCCATGCGGTCGGAACTAAGTTCTGCAAGGCCCGCCGCAGAATTAATCTCATGGTTGTTATACGGGAGATAAAGCTACATTCTTCAACAGATTTGACAGCATACAGACATCTGAACAGACAGATCTCCAAATGCATGCGACGGGACTTACGCAACTTCTTAATTCTTATATATATATATATATATATATATATATATATATAAAGATATATATATATATATATAGCTTTTTGCATTGTATCATAATCTGTTTTGTTACATATAATGTGTATTAATTTTAGTTTTTATTTTCTTTTCTTTTAATTGCTACACCTACGACAAACTCTCACCACTCCATGGGTTGACTGGTAGAGAATGCCGTTAGGGATTATGTCCGCTCTATGTATCCTTTTATTTCTAAAGGGACGCAATAAAATTTTTAAAATAAAATATTGATTTATCGTAATGTGTAACACCACTTCCACACGACACTTAAAGCCTTAATTGACGTGTTCAAAGCTTCGTAACTATTTTTATTTTGGTTTCTTCAAACTGTTCCAAATCTTTTCCCTTGTTTTCTTTAACAACACTGTTGATTATTTCACGTTTATATTTACTGTTAGAATCATTATCTTCTCTTGCATTACCACCGTAGAATGAATTTTCAGCTTCAAGGGAAACTGGGCCGAATGATTCTGAAGTTCGATGGTTGTTTAGCTCAGTTTTGTTTAAAGATATATTTTTATCACGAAACAAATTATCTATGTCGCCTCTCTCTTTATTAGTGATCCGAGGAGCGTTAGGTAGGTAGTTTACGTCAATGTCATGAGATAGGTCTGCCCAGTTCGATTTTGTGTTTTGAAGTTCATCTCTCTCTATTTTATGTTAGATTCGTTTCACCTCGTTAAGTTACTAAGAAAGTGATGTCCAATTTCCAGGTCTTAGAAACAACTTTGCCTATTCTCACAAATGACAAGGAACACATTCAACTCCGGGTCGCGGCTCTGCATGCCCTTCTTAGCACTGAAATAAGCGCCAGCGACTTTCTTTTCATTCACAACTACATCAAGAACTGCAATAGCGAGCAGTTGAAGAGGTTCTGGTATTTAACTGTGAAGACTTTAGAGAAGAATAAATACTTCCATGGCTACAAAGCTGTGTGAGTATTTTCAATTTTTTATAGCTTAAAAAATGAGAACACAATGCACCTAAGGATAAGTGGATGCAGTGGCCTATATACATCTCTATTTATTCTTGATTAAGAATCAAAATATCACGTTGTCACCCCTGAGGAATAAGACGGAATGGTTCGCTTTCAGTAAAAAGGGTCTCCGTTTCTCTACACTCACCATACGAAACACAGCAGCATTGAGCTGCTATTTCACGCTGTTATTCTGTGAGCGCGTGATCCTTCGAGCCGAGGCATTCGTGCTACAACTAATGTACCTGCAGCGTGACTCTACCACGTAAAAAAAATTAAATGCGTTATATTAAAGTTGTTAAAATTAACTAGTTTAGATTCGAGTGAAAATAAGAATGACTAACTAATGATCTTTATGTTTACGTACATATTATCAAAAAATATTTTATGATTTTTGTCGATTTTTTTTGTATTTTTCAGAAAATGTGGTTACAGGTGAGAGTGTCCAACGATTGACTAAGTGCGTGGTTAATCTCTACACTGGGTGGCGATTAGGTTATCACGTTAAATAACACAGCGCTATACAAATTCATATATGTCGATTAAAGTAATAAAATAATCAATTCTACCAAAAATAAAAAAAATTGCATCTTACAAACAAAATAAATAGCGTTAAAATTGACACGAAATAAATCACCTTGATAATATTAGTTTAGTGATGAAAAGTGACATGTAAACGCGGCAACGGTGCGGCAGGTGTGCAGTGCTCACGCGGCATCGACATAGGTAATTATTTACCGACACTTTCCCGTTCATAACTAGAATGTTAATTGTTATATATTTATTTAGTTGTGTGTGTTCAAAGAACGTTAATATAGGATAAATATTTTCATTTAATGTAATAACTTTATCGCCACCCCGTATATAAAAATCAATCGCTGTCCGTTAGTATCGCTAAAACTCAAGAACGTCTCGACTCGAATTTTTGCCTGGATAGCTTAGATTTACATTTGGACCCAGTAGGTGGCGCTGTTGGCGAGATATAGAAATCACCCGTGTAAAGCCAGGGCGGATCGCTAGTATAATAATAGTAGGTTTTGTTTGCTGAAACTGAAGTGATAAACAAACTTACAGTTCACCTAATAATAGCTCAACCCGCCACACCCTCCCGAAACCTTTACGACGAAACAAGTAGGTAATAGATAGACTAAACAGATAGACTAATAGACAGAAAAGGAGTCGTAACACCTAGCAGTAGTTAAGGGATTGACTGCGACTGTAATTTAAACAATCGTGGGTTCCAATCCATCCCTGGACTACTGTCTTGAACCACTAACACAAGAATTTCACGCTAACATTTAGTGGTTAACGTGTATTTTAATAATGTAAAGTACTCTTATAGCTTAACTAGTATTTGATAAAAACAAATGAGAATAAAATTTATAAATCATAATTATAAAAACAATGTTATTTTTAGGTCATTCTACGTGCCGTTCATTAGCAACCAAGTGACAAACCCAGGGTCGAAATATTGGGCGACAAATAACGTGGTGTTCACTGTTGGAGACGACGAAGACACCGCATCTGTGCAGTTCTTCAGCGTGGGCGAGGCGTATGGACCTATGCCTGCTATGGGAGGGATCAAATTATCTACGGGTGGAAGGAGACCGTACCAGCCTGCGGTAAGTAAGGTTTATTATAAGATACGTTGGAGAGCTCAAGAGTTTATACTTATGTTTGTTGTATTTTGGTGAAGTTTTTGAGCGTTCCTCTTCCTCTGTTTAGCCGACCCATACGTGGTGCTACCATAATATAGCTGTAGCATGGCTCTAACTTATTACAAAGCCCATGATTATAAGTCAAGTCAGTTATTATTTCTATAACAATATTAGACTAAATACTAAGTTATTATTTAAAAAAAAAGATTCCCACCGGGTTTTTGCTGGTTCTTCCCAGAACAAGATTTTGGTGTAGTAAAAGTATAAATTTTATTTTTATAGGATAAGGGTGACAAACGAGCACACAGTCCACCTGATGGTAAGTGGTTGCTGCGGCCCATAGACATCTACATCTATCCGCTATTACAAATCAAAATGCAGATGCGTTGTCACCCGGGAGGACTAAGATGGAATGCCTCATTTCCAGTAAAAAGGGCCTCCGGCCACCTGCACTCACCAAGTGAAACGCAGAAGTAAAACTCTACTTCAAGCTGGTATTCTTTGAGGTCGTGGTACCACCCCGGTTCGTGCCGGCCCATCCGTGCGACAGCAATAGCTGCCACGTGGCTCTACCACTGCTTAAAAATAAATGACTTTCAATAAGTATTAGTTCTAAATCTATTTTGAATAAAAATTATTATTTTATATTATTTTGTTTATTATCCTATCCTATCATACCCTGTTCTATTCTATTCTATCGTATTTATACTGTCCCATTCCGTACCGTCGTATATTATTCCGTTCAGTTCTGTTAAGTATTCCATTTCGTTACGTTTCGTTCATTCCATTCCATTCCATTCCATTTGATTGATATAAAATAGGTGAATTTCGTATGTGACTGTGTGGCACGCCCTCTAGCAGCATTTTAATATTCGCTACGTAGTTCTGATAAAAAAAAACCATTTGTGCATTGAATTAATTGAAATAAGCCATGTATGTATGAATTTTTAGGTGTATTTCATAGGAGAAGGACTTTCGTGGGTTTTGCTTAAGAAATTGTTACAATCGAGAAACGTTAGTGAAGGTGGCCTTATTTCCATGTTGGAGAAGCTAAATGCATGGAAGATGAGGACACCGGAACCGGTAAGATTAAAACTATTAAATGTTAAATCCATAAAAGCTAGTTGCTGGGTTAAAAAAATTTTTGGGGGTTGCCTAGTGAGACTTTGCAATATGGAATAATATTTTAAGGCCATATTTCTTTCCAAATGTAAGAATCTTTCTTATAAAACTAATGTCTGTCATAATTAGTTCGTAAAAGATCACTGTCGGACTGTCCTTTGAGAGGGTTTGCCATAATTTCAACTCATCTCAGTGCCAAACGTCATATTAACGACATTAAAAATATATTAGCTAATATCCGCGTAATAAATTAAAGTGTTGTGTTTCACCTAGTTTGAAGTGCACTATCCCCGTCACCACTAATCCCAGTGCCATTACTCACAACACCACTACACTAGGAAAGACACATCACCGCCGATAATACGACACGTGTTTCGCCTCTACACGAGGCATCCTCAGGTGAAGTGTACTCTAATTTATTCAGCCATTTTAGCTAATTAATTTTTTAACATCTATGATGAATAAATCACGCCTAGCGTATGAAAAGTAACCACACCGCCATCCAGCGGAAGTAATGAGAACTTTCTACTACTTGGCATTGCACTTTTGACAAACTGGTTTCTCATATAATAACACTACACGACTCAAGTTTCCTTTTTATTGTAAATATAAAGCAAAATAAAACTTTAAAACATTAAAAAAATTGTATTAAATTCAAATCGTAAACGCTATTTAAAACACCGACGATCAAATACACGACATCTCTGCGATATCGTCATCACGAAAACTAGATAATACATCCTGTCAGTGTCAATAACACGATACGAGTTTCGCCTCATAACAAGGCACTTTTAATTTGAACTATTTTATTATTGTTAAATACGATGGTTTGATTATCTGTGGTCCATATGTTTACATTAGTTTTGTAAATAAGACCTATCTTGTTTTCACAGGTTCATATAGACATTGTCATGAAAATTGGTGACAAAACTGTTGTCGCAACACATATTAATCAATCTGAACTAGCACAGAACTACGATGACAGTAAGTCGCTTTTTAACACGCTTTTATTAGCTTAACCTCATGTATGTTTGTATGTGTGAATTAATTTATATATGTTTGAATTTATATATGCACGGTCCCGAGTCACCTGCATGCATTGACTTCAATAGCGGGGCCGCCGGGGACTGGGGGCCGTTCACTATTGTCATTGCTGATGGGAGGGTATATTGCCATAGTTACCACGCTTGGCGAGCGGGATGGCAACTGCTATTTTTATTGCTTTTGCTGTTATAAGAAAGATGCTGCTGCCCATCTTCAGCCTGTTTCTCTCTGTCGCCTCTTACGACACCCACGGCGAGATATGGGGTAGTAGGTATTCTTACACCGCCACTACACGATGACAGTTGAACCTTACGTAATTGGTATTTAAACGAGGATCATCACAGCTCATGATCATTGTATGTTGTTAAAGTTTTTCTAATCTCTGATTTTATTATTTACTTCATTAGAGATGCTTCAGCGGAGAAGGTTAAAGTTGCGTTGAGTTACAGACATGCTAACAGTCCATCTAATTTTAAGTTTTTCAGTTCTTAATATCCAAACAAAAAGGACCTTGAGGATGAAATGAGAAGAAACGTTACACAGTCTTTTCATTTATGTGTCTATCTCTATTATTAATCGTTGTGTTGATAGCAAACGCGCAACATAAATCTTATATCAGTGCGTGTAACTGTTTTAAGATGGTTGACTGATGTTTTTCACGATTATCGAAGAAAAAAATAATCCGAATTACATTTATTTAATGATACACATTTAATAAAACAAATCTGTAGCTTCTTCATAATTAATATTTAAACATAATCCTCTAACGATTGCCTCTTAGAGTGACGTACTGAACATGTTACGCAAGACCACAATGTCGAATCTTTGTTTTGGATTTATAACCAAGACACTAAGAGTATTATTTTATATGTAGATAATAAATATTATTATATATTATCTCCATAAGGTTATGTATGGTTGTCTATATGTGTGCCTACATAGGCATTGGTGACTGACACCGGCGATTGAGGAAATAAACCAGTCTATACGAAGCAAGCAGTCGTTTAATGTATTTCCTACAACTTGTACACGACAATTCTAAATTGGAAAAGATATTTGACAAATGTTTCATTTTACAGTATTTAAGCTGATAGACGACTTCCTGAAGTTTGGCAGCCATATAAACCAGCAAATGGTCTATTACCCTTTCCAAATGGACTGGAACATAGCTAGTGAGTTAGGTGAGTAATGTAGTGTTTTTCTTCTCTAACACGTAAAGGTCTCTTCTTGAATGCCGTGACGGACACCTTGGACACTTAGTACGCTGCTGGATATAGTTTAAAGGATAACTAGTCAGATAATATAAAACCGGGAAATGAGCACGTTTTCACAAAATATCGTATAATAAAAGCTCTTTTTTTATAGGATAAGGGTGACAAACGAGCACACAATCCACCTGATGGTAAGTGGTTGCTGCGGCCCATAGACATCTACATCTATCCTCTGTTACAAATCAAAATGTAGATGCGTTGTTACCCGTGAGGACTAAGATGGAATGCCTCATTTCCAGTAAAAAGGGCCTCCGGCCACTTGCACTCACCAAGCGAAACGCAGAGGTAAACCTCTACTTCACGCTGGTATTCTGTGAGGTCGTGGTACCACCCCGGTTCAAGCCGGCCCATCCGTGCGACAGCAAAAACTGCCGCGTGGCTCTACCACTGTTGTGTTTCGTATGATATAGAATAATTTACTTTTTACTTGCAAGGAATTCTATTTTAGCCCTCAGATCTGACAACGCATTTACATGTTGATTCTTAATCGAGGATAGATATCCAGCCCAGCAGCATTCCTTTACCATCAGGTAGACTGTGTGCTCAATTCTCACCATTATTCTATAATAAAAAATACTTTTCACCCTAAAGAAAAGAATTGATGAGACAGTGATGCGGTGCTCGCTTGCCAAAGAGGCCGTCAGTTGGAGAAAAAGTTTGCATTTCTCTAGTCACCCTTTTTAATTTAATTAACTTGTATTATCTTATTTCAGGAACCCCCGTAAGGTTGCAGAGAACAATCGTCGGGTTTTCATCAGTGAGAGGAAACTTGACAGCGCATCCCGATCCTAAACGCCTTACCTGGGAAAATGATCTTCAGTTATCGTAAATATTGTGTTTTATTATTTTCGCAAGTTAGTTTCAGGCTATATACATCTTGCTGCTGTAGACTGGCCTTCTATTATTTCTATGTGTTGGCTAATTTCTTACACAAGTACTATTTCAACCGATGTTTTCCTTTACATTGTGAATCCAAGTGATAAATTAGAATTTAAAATTACAATTAACCATTTCATTGGTGCAAGCGGAAATCGAACTGTGTTCGATGGCGCTATGAAAATATTAGCCTAGGACTTATCCCCTGAGTTACGATAGCTTTCATTCACTGCTTTGATATTTCTAACATACATATATAAACTTTAACATCTCTCATCTAGAGGGGTAGCCAGAAACTATGGACTACCATTTGGCACGATCCTGACAAACCTGTCTCGTTTCTCTCATACTCATATGTATCAACGCATACATGCTTGTTGGTTATGGGTGTTCTTATTTTGAAATATCAGCTAGCAGTATAACAGTCTCGTTCTGACGTGTAACGTAGAGCAGTATCGAATGTGCTCACGTCTGATACTGATTTTTAGCCCTCGACGCAAAAAGAGGGGTGTTTATAAGTTTGACAGCTGTGTGTGTCTGTCTATCTGTCTGTGTGTTTGTCTGTGGCACCGTAGCTCTTTAACGGGTGAACCGATTTGGGTCAGGTTTTTATTTAAAAGCAGGTTTACTAACAGTGGTTCTAAGACATGTTTTATCAAAATAGGTTCAGCAGTTGCAAGGTCATCAGCTCTTTTTGTTTCGGGTTTTTAAAATTTTCAATTTATACTCTTGTTGCGAGCTTAGGATTCGAGACTATTAAAAACTGCCGATTGAATTACCAAAATTGACACTTTAATTACAGAACACTAATTACAACTTAGAAACACACTAATAATAAAACATAATTGTACTACTGATCACTTTAGTTCGCAGTTATATCACTTCGAAGTATTCGCTTATATCGCCAATTCAATACTGACCCGGTCGTGGTCTATACCGGCCTTATATAGCGCCTCAGATAGTTTCCAGAAACTTCTACTGTAGAAACATCTAGAACGTTCGAATACATATCGGTCCCGAAATTTCTAGAATGATCTTGACTCTCCTAGTTCTGATACTCGATACTAGAGGGCGCTAGTGGTAACTAGTGTTGCCATGTACACGACATTAATAGTGGCTCGCAACACTATAATATGCTTTGCAATCAAAGTTGACAAGTTGAAAATCAGAAAGAAACTTTTTTAAACACCATAAGATAAACATTACTTCCATATCTCAGGTATCAAGGAACTGCCGTGACTTCATTATCAACGGACGGGCCCATCCTTCTATCAGAACACACCACAAGGATCCAGCAGTCTATCGTGGCACTTCTCCCAATGAAGTTTAATGTGTCTTACCCATTTTCCGAAAAGAAGATAGAGTGAGTGTTTTTGAAGTTACTTGTCTTAAGTTTAAGCTTATAAAACTTATAAAATTGAATAATATTAATCTGTAAGTTCTAGCCAGTTTTTAATCACGTTAGAAGACGTATACGAGTCGTATAAAGTAGTATAATGGTAATCTTTGCCATCGGATATCTATACAAAAAAATAAAATTGAAGTGTCTGTTTGTAATGCCAAAATTACAGCTTTTTACTAAATGCAGATGAAAGTATATACGGTACTAATAATAAAAATGCAATGTTTAAAGTTTTTGTCTGTCTGTCTGTCCATCTGTCTGTCTGTTTGTTCCGGTTAATCTCCGAAACGGCTGGACCGATTTCGACGGGATTTTTACTGGCAGATAGATGATATCACAAGGAGTAACTCAGGCTACATTTATTTTGGAAAAAGAATTAAGGTTCCACGCAAAAAAATTAAAACTCCAAATAACACGCGGGCGAAGTCGCGGGGAACAGCTACTAACAAATATAAATATACGTAATCATGACCGTATCCGACATAAATAATATTCATTTTTTTTATTGAAATCTATTCAATAGAATATGATAGAATGATTTTTATTCCAAATTGATTATTACGTAACACTTATTGAAAGTCATTTTTTTATTTACCACTGGTTCGGAAAATACCTCTGTCCTGGGAAGAACCATCAAGAAACCCAGCGGGAATTTTTTTAAACATTATTTCACTTAACAATAATTTTGTTTATACAATTTTAAATGTATTTTCATAGAACCAGCATCGTGGCGATCACCTTATTCCAAGGGGTTATTTTCATTCATATATTCCTTGATATTATAATAACACTTTTTGTACAGTTTTTCTTTAATAAAACTTTTAAACTTGTTTATGACAAACTTTGAACATGTTCTGCGATTTTGTTGTAAAAGCGTATACATTGCCCCATAAATTTATTAATAATTCTGTGGAGTCTAGTAACTGGCATTACAAGCTTATGTTTGTTCCTAGTGTTTAAGGTATGAACATCCTTATTCTTATTAAAGCTATTTATGTTTTTATGTACATACATTAAATTTTCATAAATATATTGCGATGCCAAAGTTAATATGTTCATTTCTTTAAATTTTTGTCTGAGGGACTCTTTACAATTTAGATTATAAATCGCCCGTAAGGCTCTCTTTTGTAAAACAAATATAGCTTCAATATCAGTCGCACTACCCCATAGCAAAATTCCATAAGACATTACGCTATGAAAGTAACTAAAATACACTAACCTAGCTTTTTTTATAGGATAGGGTGACAAACGAGCACGCAATCCACCTGATGGTAAGTGGTTACTGTGACCCATAGACATCTACATCTATCCTCAATAAAGACTCAAGATGCAGATGCGTTGTCACCCGTGAGGACTAAGATGTAATGCCTCTTTGCCAGTAAAAAGGGTCTCCGGTTCTCTACACTCACCATACGAAACACAGCAGCGTTAAGTTGCTATTTTACCCTGGTTTTCTGCGAGAGCGTGGTCCTTCCCCGGTCGAGCCGACCCATTCGTGCTACGACTATACTAATAATATAGGTGCATAAAACTAATATAGCTGCAGCATGGCTCTACCACTCAACATCTGTGAGACTTCTAATCTTTCTTACGACATATGCTGCAGAACTAAGTTTGCTTGGTAATTTAGATATATGGGGCCCCATTGAAGTTTCGCGTCAACAGTAATACTAAGAAAAACAGTGGTATCCACAAGACTCAACTCCTCCCCATTTAAGAGCACATTGTTTTTCGAATGTTTAACATTAGGTATTGTAAATTTAATAAATTTTGTCTTATTGCAGTTTAAGGCAAATCGAAAATAAGTGACGTACTTGCCATTGATGTTAATGCCGTATTCTTTCCAGTCCAGTAGCTTGAAAACGTCTTCCAATGCAGCAGTAAAGAGTTTGGGGATATAACGTCACCTTGTCTTACACCTCTCTGCTGTTGGATAGGTTTCGTACTACGGTTCTGTTCTCGGATAGCCATCGTAGCCCTACTGTACAAACACTTCAGCACTTTGATATACGGACAGTCAACTTGGCACCGTTGAAGGGACTGTAGCACCGCCCAAATTTCGACGTAATCAAAGGCTTTCTCATAGTCCACATACATAAGACAGTGTGCCAAATTGTAATCTACTACAAAGTGGCTGTTGAACATAGGTGTTACCAAAGATTGCCCCATAAAAAGGATTTTTGCCATAGTTGCCACGCTTGGCAGTCCTGTTTTAGATTTTTTTTATTACGAAGACGCTAATAGCTATCTGTAGTAACGATATTGGATAGTGGATAATTTAATACCGCCACTACAACATCGCCTCAATTTAGGTCTAAATTATTAATGTGGTGAACGAAACAAAGAACGTAACTCTTGAAATAATTTATGTTACATTTTCAAGAATTTCATTTTTTTATAGGAGAGGGGGCAGAAACTAGCACGGTTCACCTGATGGTAACTGACTACCGCTGCCCATGAACAACCGCAACACCAGGGGATTTACAGATGCATTACCGGCCTTTTAAAAGGAGTACGCTCTTTTCTCTTTAGTGGCAGTCGATTCCAGAAGGTAGTTATCCGATGAAGAAAAGTTCTTCTAAATCGCACAATGGTGGACTACCAATCATCCAGATGGTATGGATGGTATTTTGAGTTACGAGTTGAATATATTATGACGTTTCCATTTTATCAACAATTACCAAATGTTTAAGAAAATTTAATATCCTCATATATAAACAAATTTTAAACTCCAACGCAATGGTTGCTCATTCGCATGCGCTGTAAATATCGCTACGTGACAACTACGATACTAGGAAATACACAATGTGAATAACCCGATACGAATTTCGCCCCAGAATGAGGCAGTGTCAAACCTGAATGAACATCAGTGACAGTTAAAATTATTTTAAAAATTAGTCTTTACACCATGTGCGAATTTTTCAGGTTGACACTACTGTTTCCGTTCACACAGCGTGCTGGCTTGGCTCTGCACTCACGTGTGTTGGTCAACATGGTCACAATTGACGGAAACTACGAGAATGTTGTTATAACCGGTAGAGATACATGCGAGGTGAGTCTTGTGTTGAAACTATTCTTATAATAATAAGATAACAAACGAATCTTTACCACCTGATAGTACGAGCCTACTGTAACTCGTGAACACCTGCAACCGACTTCAAATGAAGAAGGGTACAGATGCGTCGTCACTATAGGACAAAGATGGATTGTCTCATAGCCTGTTATTATATTGGCTCCTTATACATTAGATTAGATCACAGCAGTGCAGGCACTCCTGCTTGATAGTAGAACTAGGTAAGACTGTAGTACCTACTCCAATGGACATGGTGGTAGCGTATCATAACACAAGTTCTCTATAGGAAAATTGCCAGAGTTGTACCAATACCGATGGATTAAAATTTAGAAAAGAAACTATTATCTAGTAAAATTACATTAACCATTTAGGTATTAAGGGCCACATGTGCTATTCCTAAAAATGGAATGTTTATTGATTGTAGAGAGACGAACCAGAGAGCATTACCGACGACCGACCTATATCCGGGGCGGAAACGACTGACAAACTGATGACCCATATTTTTGAGTAAGTTTTTATTTTCTTTTTTGTAAAGGAATTTACCCCACACTAGGATTTTCTCCTATGTAGTTGAGGCAGTTCACATACATATATTACACAAGGAGAAACATCGACACCCGGGACAATGAGGGCGACAATCCACGACATTTTCTGCCACCAGGGCGGCACCACTTAAAAGTGAGGTTATAATATTTGACAGATTTCATAGCGGGGAAGATAATTTGTTCGGAAAATGAAAAAGTTAATGTTTCTTTTTGTACTATTAGCTATACTTTATATTAATTCGATTAAAAATAAATAAACCGAACAACAGATATTCACAAAAGTAGAAAAATTAAAGAAGAGTTAAAAATGTGCAAATGATTAAGGATCAAACCACTGAGGCATTGTTTTGTGTGTTAATATAATACTCTAGAAACTGATGAAACTTTTATTAAAAACTAACTACTTAATTAAATTACACTGTGTAACAAAAAACTTTACCTCAGTGTCAACTAGCGACATCTGGTGAGTAGAAAATTATTAGTCCTCATTATTTGTAGTCCATACTTTTTCATTGATAAGTCTCTCATTGATAAGTTACTGCGTCACGGAGACATCATAGTGTTATATCTTTAAATGTTGATTTATTATTGATTAAACTCCTGTGTGCATTCGTAATTCTTCTCCTCCTAAATGGCTCGACCGATTTAGATGAAATTTTTATGGGGTACTTGTAAGGCCATCGGAATGATTCTTAGCTATAGTTGGTTCCGGTAGATGGCACTGTTGTCGAGATCCAAAAATCACCCGTGCGAAGCCGGCGTGGATCCCTAGTTCTTGAAACTAATTAATGGATTTTGATGCGGTATTCACCATTATTGACTATCATCCTCACTATCACTTATCACATCATTATCACTATTTGTAGCAATATTCATCATTATAATCATTAAAGCCCTTGATAGGTCCACTGCTGAACATACGCCTCCCCAAGGAATGCCACATAGCACGGTCCTGAGCCACCAGCATCCATCGACTTCCTGCATGTCTTACCAGGTCGTCACTCCATCTAGTGTGGGGACGCCCTACACTTCGCCTACCGGTACGAGGCTGCCACTCCAGAACCTTTCTTCCCCATCGGTTGTCGGTTCTTCGAGCTATATGGCCGGCCCATTGCCACTTTAGCTTACTAATCCGTTGGGCCATGTCGGTTACTCTAGTTCTACTGCGGATATCCTCATTTCTAAGTTTATCACACAGAGAAACTCCGGGCATAGCCCTCTCTATAGCTCGCTAAACGACCTTGAGCGTCCTCATACGGCCAGCAGTGGAGGACCACGTATTAGATCCATAAGTCATCACTGGCAATATTATCAATCATAAATATTAATTGGCAACCGCAGATTTTAATTATTTGGAGTTGTCATCAGGAAGATGCTGCTGCCAGTTTTTTGTTTCAAATCCCTCTGTCGTCTCTTACGACTCTTACTGGAGGGATGGATATCTTCGCTATTATTAATAAATATATTCCAATCGCTCAGATATTGTTTGCTAGAAAACATCGAAATGAAAAATTTTATGAAATTATTTTTTTTTGCTTCTTTGTAAAAGGAAAATGAAATTTCGGTTATTACGTGTAATTTTTTTTTCAAATCTACCACCTCTTTTGTAACGACTTTTTTTATAGGATAGGGTGACAAACGAGCACACAGTCCACCTGATAGTAAGTAGTTGCTGTGGCCTATAGACATCTACATCTATCCTCGATTACGAATCAGAATGCAGATGCGTTGTCACCCGTGAGGACTAAGATGCAATGCCTCGTTTCCAGTAAAAAGGGTCTCCAGTACTCTACAGTGACCATACGAAAGACAGTAGTGTTAAGTTGCTATGTTACGCTGGTGTTCTGTGAGAGCGTAGTCCTTCCCCGGTCGAGGCGACCCATTCGTGCTACAATTATACTACTAATATAGCTGCAGCATGGCTCTACCACGTAAAATGATATACTATAACCGGAGCAGAAACAGTGACAAAAACTGCGCAGGTATCCTATTATGCTAACATAAGATCTTTATATAGAATGGAAAACAATAACCGAGCAATCGTCAAATAAAGCATGTTCTATGATGCTCTAAAAAATAACCTTAATAATTTGGACCTCATGATTGCATAGCAAACTTGAGTAGACCCCCACAAGCAGCACCCGTTCACTATTTTGACACATGTAGCAGCCATCGCCCTCGTCAACCATATTTTTTAACTGGAAGAGGTGATGCAGTTGAAGATAGGATATCACACTAATGTAGCTTTACAAAACAATAATAATAATATTTAGAAGATGTTTTCTTCCTCGTACAACTTCCTTGTGGAATAGTTTACCACCAGCGATTTTTCCGGACCGATACGACTTAGGGACCTTCAAGAAAAGAGCCTACTCCTTTTTAAAAGGCCGGCAACGCTTCTGCGATTCCCCTGATATTGCGGTTGTTCATGGGCGGCGGTAGTCACTTACCATCAGGTGAGGCGCATGCTTGTTTGCCCCTCTCCTATAAAAAAAAAAGGATATTCACTTTTGCGTTGAAGACACCTATTAACACATTGCAGTCGGTTGGAAAGACAGATGCCGGCAAATTATTCTACTCCTTTGCTTGTATCCTTCCTTATTTAGATCTAGAACCAAATAAATTTACAAATAAATGTACAAAGTGGTAGAACCACGCTGCAGTTATATTATGGTTTTAGCACGAATGGGTCGGCTCGACCGGGATAAGACCACGCTCTCACAGAATACCAGCGTAAAATAGCTGCTTAACGCTGCTGTGTTTCTTATGGAGAGTGTAGAGAACCGGAGACCCGTTTTATTGGAAATAAGGCATTCGCTATTATGAAGAGTCAGAATGTGTCAAATAAGGCACGTATGACAATTCATAATGGTGTGTTAGTCTCTACTTTAATGTATGGTAGTGAAAGTTGGGTATGGCAGAAGAAGCATGAGAGTAGAATAAATGCTGTAGAAATACGGTCATTAAGAAGTATGCTAGGGCTGAGTCTGAATGACAGGGTGAGACATTGTTTGATAAGAGAAAAGCGTGGTTTGCAAGATGACGTTATGACCAGGATTAAGAAAGGAATGTTTCGGTGGTTTGGTCATGTAGAAAGAATGAATGAGGAAAGAGTGACAAAGCCAATTTATTAGACAATTTATTTATGTTGCAGAAGTTCACTTCTGCAATATAAATTGCCGTTCACGGTAGAGTCGACAAGGGACGCCCTAGACGAAGGTTCATCGACCAAATCGGCGATACATTGAAAATGGGATAGATTAAGAGTACCCTTAATCAACGAGCCTGTATGCGTAGATATATGGATGTAAAGGAGGCGAGAGAGCTGTGTCAGGATCGCACCAAATGGAAGTCCGTAGTTTCTGCCTACCCCTCTGGGTAACAGGCGCGAGTGTTTGTGTGTAAGGCATTCCATCATTGTCCTTAGTGTTGACAACGCATCTGCATTTTGATTCTTTATCGAGGATAAATGTAGATGTCTATAGGCCACAGTATCCACTTACCATCAGGTGAACTGTGTGCTCGTTTGTCGCCCTTACTCTGTAATAAAATTGACTGCATTAATAATGCTCAGCAAACTGCACTAACGAAAATGTCAATTGCCTTTGAGATCTTCTTGTTGAGTTTAAAAGTTTTATTAATAATAATATCCTCCAGGCCTAATTTCGGTCACGGCAGCCGGTCTTAATAGAGACCTTCTTAGCGTAGAACAGGATAAGCTCAAAAACAGGTGCACTTTCTATTTTCTCACTCTCATAGTCTGATGGGATTCAATCCACCACGACCAGAGGGAGATAAGGCGCAAGATCAACGACTTTACATGCATAACTTGGCACGGGCTTTTCTGAATTTATTAAACAGAAAAACCCAATAACTGATATTGACCCGATCCGAGTCTCGAACCCGGGATCTCGTGATCAGCAACCGTGCTTACAACTACTAGACCTACGAAGCAGTAAAAAGTTTTAATTTTGTGTCTATTTATTGCTCTTTCAGCTTACTCACTCCATTGAAGTCCTCGCATATCGCTCTGGACAGCATCCTTCTGTTCAATTTCCCTCCATCTGGGACCTGTGGTGCCACTATCTTCGTCTCGAGCCTCAAGAACTACGGTGAAGGGAAAGTCAAAATGGAGCTTGGAGTCAGTCGGTGGAACTTCTTAAGTGAAGAGGATAAGATCGACGTAGACTTCAGTTTTGCGATTAGTTTCTACATGTAAGATAATACGTACTATTGTATCTTCCAGTTTTCTTGTTAGATTAGGGTTTTGGCGGGAACTTGACCGACGGTGGTTTGCTGCTCCTGTATTATTGTTCAAATAATGGTTTGCAGTGGACTTTGATATGTAAATGTGCTGCGATTTTGTGTATTAAGTGTCTACGTATGTGAACTATTAGTGGAAACTGTGAAACAAGTGCTCTAATGGTAATGTGATTCTGAACATAAGGTTGTTTGCTTAGGCGCCTTGAGATACCATTGCCAACAGTTCTCTGCTGGCTCATGTTGCCGTCAACATCTCGCAAAGGCTGCACAATGTGACCCATCAACATATTGTGAAGCAGTGCACTGTGAAGGATAATTATACATTGTAATTTCAGACTCAAAGGGCTAGAACCCAGAGCCGTAAAGCCAGTTGTAAAAAAAATCTCGTTACATTAATGATAATAATGTCCAATAGACCGGAATTTAGCCTAGCCAGTCTCAACGAAGACTAGCCATCTGCGCAAGACAGGATTATAGTGCACGAGTGTGTGCGCAACCATAGGTGCACTGGAGGTATAGATGTTATATATAGATGTTGTACCTTTACTTTACTTTAACATCCTGCAACCTAGTGATATACACCCAAATCATCACGTGGGTGTCGTAAGAGGCGACAGGGGAAAACTAAAATAGTAAATGGGTAGCAACCGTTACCGTCACAACTTATCGAAAATTCAACTCTTAAACATAGTTCTCGCCATAGATTTCTTCATTGGGTGGATATTTGTCACAGTTGCCGCGTTTCGCAGGCGGGTTGGCAAGCTTATTTCTAATAACAACTAAGAGACAAGAAATGCGATTTTTTTAACTAATGTTTTAACCGTTGGGACTTGTGTAATGATAACGACGATGGTGATGTGACATTTTCCAGTTTAAATAAAAACCACGAGGATCCAGTTATTAAAATTTACTCGGAAACAAGCATCAACAGTCAGGACGGCAACTTGACAGCGGAACTCGCCGTCAGGGGGAAACTTCCCGACACATTCCATAATATAAGCGACAGATACATAAGAGTAAGTTATTTAACCGTTTTAAGCATTTCAGTAAAAACACAGTCGTAAGCTGGTACATGCTTCACACTTGTGAACAGTGCTTGTCGGAACCGGTCTGCTCTGGTTTGCAAGACTTTTATACGAGGTAGTGGCACGCTGCAGCTATGTTATGGTTGTAGCATAAATGCGGTCGGGTCGGCTCAACCGTCGAAGTATCACGCATTTACAGAATGCCTGCGTTAAATAGCAATTTAATTTTGTGTATAGTGACACCGAGACAAACGAGTACATAGTCCACCTGATGGTAAGTGATTGCTGTGGCCCATAGATATCTACATCTATCTTCGTTTGCGAATTAAAATGCAGATGCGTTGTCAGTCGTGAGGACTAAGATAGAATGTCTCTTTTCCAGTAAAACGGGTCTTCGGTTCTCTACACTCACCATACGAAACACAGCAGCATTAAGCTGCTATTTTACGCTGGTATTCTGTGAAAGCGTGGTCCTTCCCCGGTCGAGCCGATCCATTCGTGCTACAACTATACTATAATATTAATATAGCTGCAGTATGGCTCTACCACGTGCAAAAACCAGCAAAAACCCAGTAGGAGCTATGTGTGGTGGCCCCCCACTAGGATTGCAGTGAGGCAATGAAAGCAGGTGGTTCAGGATTGAGTGTACTCACCCGAGATTATTTTTACTGAAAACGTGGTATTCCATCTTAGTCTTCAAGGTTGTCAGCGCCCCTGCATTTTGATTCGAGGATATACGTAGATATCTATGGGCGATAGCATCCACTTACCTGATGGTGGACTGTGTGCATGCTTGCCACTTTTATTATATGACAAAAAACATTATCTTTTCATGTCAGCAACTCACCTACAATTTCTCAGATTTTGCATTTGTTAATTGGAGAATTTACTATTAGGTCATAATCGTTTGCCCCCCTCTCCCATAAAATTCAATATTGTATGTTTTTCCAATGTGTTATTTTATTATAGAACATTCGTTCTATATCTGAGAATCTATTAAAAATGATAAAGGGAGGATGTATTCGTAGCAGCGGTGGTTTTTTTTAAAATGTTTTTTCTCCGGATAGGAAGACATTTTGTAACGGTAGTAGATTAATGGACAATGTTACAATATTCTAAATCAATAAATAAAATTAAAAATTATCAACCCCCCCCCCCCCCCAAACAAAAAAGCTGATGATCTTCAAACAGCTGAACAGATTTTCTTGAAATATAGATAAGAACGCATTCGATTAAGGCAAATTTCAAAAAAAAAACTTAATCAAAACCGGTGCATCCGTTCAGGAGATATGATGCCACAGACAGACATATAGATACACATTGAAAACATATAACATACGCCTGTTTTCGTCGCGGGTTACAAATGATATTCTTAATCAAAGTCGAATGGGTCGGCTTGACCGGGGAAGGACCACGCTCTCACAGAATACCAGCATAAAATAGCAGCTTAACGCTGCTGTGTTTCGTATGCTGAGTGCAGAGAACCGGAGACCCCTTTTACTGGTTACGAGGCATTCCATCTTAATCCTCACGGGTGACAACGCATCTGCATTTTATTTTGTAGTTGACGATGGACGTAGATGTCTATGGGCCACAGGAATTACTTACCATCTGGTGGACTGTATGCTCGTTAGTCACCCTTATCCTGTAAAAAAGTTTCGAAACACGATGATCACCACAACCGTGATATGGGGCGTAATTATTTATTTTCCAGGTGGTTAGACTCCTTACTCTGCTGAGGAGTCTCTCTGGATAGACAGCACCTTCTTATTTATCCAAATAGGCGTGCTTGCACTGCTGTGTATTGTTAAAAGCTTAAGGCATTTCATCTTAGTCCTCAGATCTGACAAAGCATCTGTTACCTGTTATCTTTGTCTAATGTTGGTTGTAAGTGTTCACGGACTGCAGTAGCCACTTACCATCAGGTAAACTGTAAGTTAGTTTGCCAATTCGGTGAAAACAGTCTCGGCTACCATAAGGGCTCATGCCCACGAGACGGCTTTTCGCCGGAGCTAAGCCCGGCGTCAAGGCGGGTCTACGTCCGGTTGTCAGTTCTGTATGGGACACTATGAAGCCAATCACAAGACGCCGGCGCTAGCATTTGCGCAGTCAGAGGACGTAGACCCAGTTTGACATCAGGCTTAGCTCCGGCGAAAAACCGTCTCGTGGGCATGAGGCCTAAGAGGGGCGTAGGTAAGCCGACGGCGTTAACGTAGTTATCGTATTCCGTATTCAAGGTGAACGTAGACCTTTCACCATTATGCTGTTGATTCAGCGATATAGGCGGTCACTTTGATTTTATGTATATATAATATGTTGATAACTATATTTTATTTTATTCTTATAGGCCACACCCAGCATCTAAACATTGCCATTTTCTCATTCAAACAAGAGTGTTCTTCTTTCAGCTATGCTACCTTCAAGAAGTGTCAACGCAGACATCTGTCGACCAAGACTTGTATTCCTTCCCATCAGCGTATCAAGGCCAAATAATTCTTCTTTTGGACTTCTCTAAGGAGTACCGTACTTGCTACGAGAGAGCAGAGAATAAGCTCAAAATAAGATATAAGGGCTCACCGAAGAACGTACACGGAGCCTTGGAAAGGCACGTTGAGTTCCAAATAGAAGGGGTGAGTACATATTTTTTATTTTCATTTAATTAAAAAGTTAACCAATAGGTCAAATACTTTTCATCATTTGAGTTTAAAACATGATATTATTTAAATTATAGCTACTGCAATTTAAAAACACATATATTCTTGGAATCGATATAATAAAATATGCTTATTTCCTTATTCGAGTACCATTCTCCCTCCTTTATTAGTTCGCATTATATACGCTTACTATACTTACTACCATTTTTATCATTTATCACAACAACTAATCATGTTAAACTAATAAATATACACTAAGTGTTGCACGATACTAATTTCGCCTCAAAATAGGGCAATATGAAGTTAATTTATATTAGCTCAAGGGTACACGTTGCCGGTCTGGATATTTTACGCCTAGCATAAAATATTCTTGTTGTTCCCTTTATTGGTAGAAATACAAGCTATTACATAAGTCCGAAGGAATTCCTTAAAGAAAAATTTTAAGAAATAAATACATTAATCCTATAGTAACCTCTTACGATACACGCGAGACGGAATGGGTTAGAAAATAAATAGACACTCAGACGAAGCAGCTAAAACTTTAATCGTGCGTTTTTCTTTTTTTCTAGAAACAAGGCATTGATCTCGTGCGCCACGTGTTACCAAAGCGGGTTCTGGAGACGGCGAAGGATCTATTTTCAGGAACATACGATAGGGACTCAGTGAATGCTGTTGCTGAAATGAAGGTATGTTATTTCATGTTGAGAACTGTTACCCCAGTTCCTGTATTATTAAAAAGATTGTACGTATAGTAAAAAAGAAAATATTAAAAGAATTCTGAGAAAAGAAGAGTACATATCGCCGTGGAGTGATGGGTGATGGATACTCTTACGTTTTATGATACGGTAGATTTTAATTTCTTTAGCTCCAGCTCTTTTGTCTCGTATAAAAATGATTTAATGCACACAAATTAATATAATAATAATTGTACGTGGTAGAGTCATACTGCAGCTATATTAGTAGTATAGTTGTAGCACGAATGGGCCGGCTCGACCGGGGAAGGACCACGCTCTCACAGAATACTAGCGTAAAATAGCAGCTTAACACTGCTGTGTTTCGTATGGTGAGTGTAGAGAACCGGAGACCCTTTTTACTGGTAAAGAGGCATTCCATCTTAGTCCTCGTGGGTGACAACATATCTGCATTTTGATTCGCAAACGAGGGTAGATGTAGATGTCTATGGGTCACAGCAACCACTTACCATCGGGAGGACTGTGTGCTCGCTTGTCACCATATTCTATAAAAAAATTAAAATCGATTTTATTACAGGAGAAGAATGGTGTGATACACGTGAAAGCGAAAAATGGAAGCGAAGTGAAATTCAAATCAGAGAACTTGGGATGGATGTTGGACAGTTTCACAACGATGCAAATTATGACGAAATACGGTCTATACCGTGAGTTATCATGATTTTATTTTAATTGAAAATCCAGTAACTCATTATTGGAGACTGGTAAAATGTAAACTTATTAAGACGACTACAAGAGCTAAGTAATCTCGAAAGATGCACGCACGCATTTACACAATTTCTGTATATCACTGTCGAAACAAAGGCGTTTACGCACACTTGCATACGTAACTTGTTCAGAAATAAGAATATGCGATTTAAAAATATCTATTGATATAACTAACAATTAAAACACTATTACGTTAATACGTTGTTGCATGTAGTATAATGTGACAAAAATCGGAATGATGGCATGTATATTAGTGTGATTTTTAATCGTTAAAATAAAGTTTTAGAGGTATAATGATTTCTTATATTTACGCGAACACTACACATTTAAATAAAACTAATTTTACCTCCATATGGAGGTAGCCGTGGTTAACTATGACATTGGGACGTCATACACCTCAGTCCCCCCCGTGACCATGGGTGCTGTAAAGTGCTTGAAACGTCGGGAATGTAAAATAAGTTAATATACGCGATAGAATCCGTAAAATTAGTTTTATTTTAGAGGTATGTTCGTGATTTTTTCAAATTTCCTCAAATTAGTAGTATCAGTTTTTCAACACACTATCTAAATAGCATATATCCTGGCAAATATCATATATCTTTCTGAATTTGTTTACTGCAGTGGATCATATGCTTTAAGGTAATATAAAACTATCGTTTAGCTCCTGTAGTCCCCTTAATATGTATTATGATGAAGTCGTGAGTCGAAACCGGTCGGTTTCTTATAGTTAATAAATTAATAAATTAAAATAAATATTAGTTTAACAAATACGCGTGCAAATCCATATCACAGAAATGTTAACTTATTTTTCAACTTTACTATTTGTCCACTAACTTCAGCACTAGTCTATTGTGGTTATGAGTCCTTTCCAATGCAAATTTTTCGTTGCAGTACATTATATCTTGCACTATTAATGCTGCTCTCTAGTTTCGATGATTATATGTACAGTCATCTTTTTTAATAAAATAAGGGTGACAAACGAGCACTCAGTCCACCTGATGGTAAGTGGATGATGTGCAAATGTAGATGTCTATGATGACATCTACATTTATCCTCAATTAAGGATCAAAATTCAGGTGCGTGTCACCCCTCAGGACTGAGATGGAATGCCTCATTTCCAGTAAAAAGGTTCTCCGGTTCTCTACACTCACCATACGAAACTGGTATTCTGTGAGAGCGTGGTCCTACCACAGTCGAGCCGACCAATTCGTGCTACAACTATAATATAGCTGCAGCTTGGCTCTACCGCGTGTAAAGCGAAGGCGATAAGAACTTTCTATTTTTTATTATTTAAAATGTCCACAGCCACTAAAGTACAACAGGAAATACACGTCGCCAATGTATATAACACGACACGTATTGTGCCCCGAAACGAGACGTTGTCAATATTGCTGTTACAGTGGCATACACTGGCTGGTGGCACATGATTTTTGGCTAGAATATCTGGTAATGCACCATTCTCTTACCTGGTTATGCTACAAAGATCCATTCTTGTGCTGCAGTTTGTTAAGAGAACCAATATAATTAATTACAAACCGTAAGAGATTGCATCTTAATACTTAGATGATAAGTGATAGCGTATATTTGAATCCTCTTTTGTTTGAAGATAGTTACGGGTGGTTAGTACTGAAGTAGCCCTACATATATGGCAATACTATGAGGTGGAATGCTTCCTCGTTTGTCACTTTGAAACGTCGATCACTAATAAAAATCTAGATACATAATCAGTGACAAAAATGTACATACCGAATGAGCGCCCACTCGAACATTTGGGTGCGCTTTTAATTTGTACGTAGCTTTGTGAATACAACTTTAGGGTAGTGCATTTAAGGTTGAATTTACATTAATGTATATTTATTTCAACTAGAATTACGTCAAAACAATCGGCGACAGTTTTTAGAGAACTTTTGCATGTGATTCAGTATCTATTTTTTCATTAGTGATATAAGTTTAATAATAAAATATTTGAACTAATTTTAAACCTTATGATATATCTGACATTTAACTACCCTCGTGAATTTACGCCGTGTAAGTAAAGATCTATGCGGTAGGTCTAGGTGATTGCTTAGTTTTCGTGTCGTTTAGAGGTCATAAACACGGCTGCTGATAACGAGGTCTCAGGTTCGAATCCCAAATCCGACACGACCGGGGGTATATCAGGCGCAGGACCTTACATACTTTTCGAGATAAAGGGACTCCGAACTGCTACTGAAAATTTATTGATGAAATAACTCAATAACTGATTTTGGCCAAACCCGGGATTCTAAATTGATACCACATAACCAGCAGTTACGCTAGTGACTACTAGACCAACGAGACAATCTAGTTAGTCAAAACGTAGTAGATTTTCCAATGCATTATGAAGAAAAAAAGAAAAAAAAAAGTGATTAATGAACGATTACCAATATGCTATTATCAGACGTTGGAATTTAAAAACATGTTCTGTTCTCAGGAGAATGTCGTGTCCAGGAGTCAACGGTGGAAACGCTCTTCGGCACCACCGAACCACTGCTGCCGCTCCAGCAAACTGACGCCATAGCCTTGGCTGATTGTTCGGACTTTTCCAGGTCTTTAGAAATATATTTTACACATTTCCTGGAAATAGAGTGAATGGGGCTCTACACGCTATTATGAGGAGTCAGAATGTGTCAACTAAGGCACGTATGGCAATTCATAATGCTGTGTTAGTCCCTACTTTAATGTATGGTAGTGAAAGTTGGGTCTGGCAGAAGAAGCATGAGAGTAGAATAAATGCTGTAGAAATGCGTTCCTTAAGGAGTATGCTAGGGCTAAATCTGAATGAGAAATAGTCTGATAAGAGAAAAGTGTGGTTTGCAAGATGACGTTGTGACAAGGATTAAGAAAGGAATGCTTCGGTGGTTTGGTCATGTAGAAAGAATGAACGAGGAAAGAGTGACAAAGCAAATTTATGTTGCGGAAGTGAACGGCAGGGTCGGGAAGGGATGCCCTAGACGAAGGTTTATCGACCAAATCGGCGATACATTAAAAATGGGCCAGATTAGGAGTACCCTTAACCGACGAGCGTGTATGCGTAGATATATGGATGTAAAAGAGGCGAGAGAGGTGTGTCAGGATCGCGCCAAATGGAAGTCCGTAGTCTCTGCCTACCCCTCTGGGTGACAGGCGTGAGTGTTTATGTATGTATATGTATTTTACACATCACACACATATTGTATTTTGCAAATAATTTTACCAAGCTTAAAAGGACTTCTTCCATGCTTTGGAAGGTTCGCCGTAAAAAGACGCTGAATTTTATCGCCTGACTGGCTTCTTTCTAGCTATTAAGGTAAATAAGCCTTATTTCCGTGACATTTTCTTAAAGCATAGTCCCTTAATTCAAGAAACGTTTGTTTAGTATAGAGCGCTTGTAAAATCGATGAATTATATTTATATATTTTTAAATTAACTGGCAATATATACAGGAAGTCGTTGGATGCATGTGGCTCTGGCCGTGCGTTGTGGCGTTGCTTGGGGGAGGCCTGTTAATATTGCTTGAGGCATTAGTGAAGAGCTGTAATGATGATGATATTTATTTATAATTTTCTTTTTTTGGTAGGTATACTTTAACTTTAATTTTAATATATCATAAGTTGATGAAGCATCGAACGTGACATAGTATACTGGGTTATTTTACAATAACCGACCAGATTTGCAGAGAAGGTGCAGAATAAATAATGTAGGCAATTGTTGAAGAAAAATTAATTAAAAAAATCTCTTTTTAAATTTTAAATTCAAAGTGCATGGTAATGCATTAATTTAACTTATTGTCATTCATAAATATCAAACTGCATACGTATGTATATAATTACTCTAAGTATCTACTACGCGTACTATTTTACAACGCACGTACACATTTGTAATGGTCAATCGGTCGGCAAAAACGATGTGAATTGGATCGCACACAGAAGAGCGCGCGTACACGTAGTTGTTGAGCATAAATCACATTCAATTTGGGATGATTTCAAATAAAATTAGAAGTCTTATTTACTCGTATTTTCAAAGACGTAAATAACGGTATATCATTATTTATATACATGAACTTAAGTTTAAATCTTGTTTGAAATTTGTCCCAATTCTAGGTATAATAGTCCTTCTCTCATTCTTTAGATATAGTACAAAAAGTCCGATGCACTGCCCTCATACGTGATGGTAGACAGTGTGGGTGTCTTCAAGGCAAGAGTGAATAGACTTTTGTTAAGCAAAATCACTGCGTTTTGCCATCTTCGGCTGCATTACCACTCACTATCAGCTGGGATGGTAGCCAAACATAGGCAATTATTAGTTAAAAAAGACTACATAAAAGACTACATAATTATGTAGTCTTTTTTAACTACTTTAATTATAATTTTGGCCGTGGAAGGAAAAGGGGAGCGAGCAACGCTCCGTGTGTTATTTCTAGCTGTTCTATTTATAGCGTGTTAACTTAAGAACTTTGATAGCGCGATTTACGCTTCGGGGCGTTTCGCTTGCGGTGCGACGACAGCACTGACACATAATAAATAAATAAAATAAATAATTATTATAATAAAATTAACATAAATAAATGAACAATAACAAGACTAATCTAAATTATATAATATATTATTATATATATTTCATCGAAAAAAATATTACAGTTCCTTCGACATGCAGATTTCGATACGATGTTTTCCTTCACAACGGAGCATTTTTTTATAGGATAGGTTGACAAACGAGCACACAGTCCACCTGATGGTAAGTGGTTGCTGTGGCCCATAGACATCTACATCTATCCTCAATAAAGAATCAAAATGCAGATGCGTGGTCATCCGTAAGGAATAAGATGGAATGCCTCGTATCTAGTAAAACGGGTCTCCGGTTCTCTACACTCACCATACGAAACACAGCAGCATTAAGCTGCTATTTCACGCTGGTATCTGTGAGAGCGTAGTCCTACCCCGATCGAGCCGACCCATTCGTGCTACAACTATACTGCTAATATAGCTACAATATAAAATTGTAATAATGTTTCATTATGAAGGTATATGTTTTGCGGAGCCGTGCCGAAAGCTAGCTTAAATTAATAACTAGAACAACTTGAAAATATTTTGAGAAAGCGGCTACTTCCGGCGATTTTGTCACTGCCATTCCCCTGGTATGGCAGATGTTCATGGGTGGAGGTGGTTATAAAATGACTACATGGTTCATAATAAACCCTGGGAACGAGGTGATCGGTTCCAAGCTATTTCTATTGTATAATAGTTATTACTGTGGAAAAAAGCCTCGCTGAGTTTCTCGCTGGTTCTTCTCAGGACAGAGGTTTTTTTCAGAATTAATGATCAAAGTAAAAAATGACTCTTTTCTTTTTTCTTTATTAAAAAAAAAGATTACCCCCACACTAGAATTTTCTCCTGTATCGTGAAGGCAGTTTACAAACATAAATTGCACAAGGAGAACATCTAGATCCGGTACAATCACTTGTAAGCCGTACAAATACTTGTTCCGTGCCGGAACAAGCGCATCAACTCACTGTAAAGCCACCGCGCAACGGAGCCGTAAAAATGACTCAATAAGAATTGCTTATAATCTGTAAATAAATATAAATTATTATATTCAAGTCACCATTAGGTGAACTGCATTCCTCTTTTTCCCTTCTATATAAAAAATACTCAACATAAAGTAGGTAGGTATAGGAAACGCTTAAATCGAAGATGATAGAAATAACTGAATCTAAAAACCAATTTATATTTACAGCTTTGCCGTACTACGTCAACAAAATGGCGGCGTGAAAGTCCACGCTGGAGAAAACAGCATCGTTGTTAGAGGTGGCTCGGCGGACATAGCAACTGATGTTCCATACTTTAGGTAATTATTTTTAACAGAAACAGAAACTTTTTTATTCAATATAGATTATAAATAATACTTATTGAAAGTCACTCTTTTGATATTAATAACATTAATGTGGAAGGGCGTGATCACTACCACACTGGTTCTAATAAAATTCATAGAAATAAATGTACTGAAATGTATGATATAATTGTAAAATTATGCATGTATACACACACACACACACACACACACACACACACACACACACACACACACACACACACACACACACATATATATATGTGTCTAAAAAATAAACCCTCTGGGTTTCTTGCTGTTTCTTCCCAGAACAGAAGTATTTTCTAAACCAGTGATAAATAAAAAATGACTTTCAATAAGTAACAATCTATACTGATTAACCTGTTAAATTACCTGTTTCTATTCCATTCCATTAAATTCCGTTCCAATCCATTCCACTCAAATCCGTTCCATTCAATTCCGTTCCGTTCTATTCCGTTCCATCCCATTCCACTCTACTTCACTACATTAAACTCCATTCCACCCTATTCAATTCCATTGCGTTCCGTCTCATCCCACTCTATTGCATAACCTTAGACTCCATTCCACTCTATTCCATTCCATTCCGTTATATTCCATTATTGCACTGTAGTCAGAGAATTCACTGCCTAACATCTTGCGGGTGTCTTAAGAGGCGACGGAGGGAAACTGAAAAAGGAGATGGGCAACAGTATCGTTCTGATAACTTATTCATAATACTAAAAAACAGCGCTTGCCCAATGAGACGATTTATGTGGCAGGTCTATGTTTAGCAACGGATAATGTGTGTGCACGAATATCAGTAACCTCATTCGTCTCGTGTCGGTAAAAATCGTCTATTAGAAATGGCGTAAAGATCTCATTCCTGCCGATGGATGACGGTAAAAACATCTCGTTTTTATAGAATAAGGGTGACAAACGAGCACACAGTCCACCTGATCGTGAGTGGATGGTGTGGCCCATAGACATATACATCTATCCTCAATTAAGAATCAAAATGCAAATGCGTTGTGACCCCTGAAGACTGAGATGGAACCCCTCGTTTCCAGTAAAAAGGGTATCCGATTCTCTATACTCACTATACGAAACACATCAGCATTATGCTGCTATTTTACGCTGGTACTCTGTGAGAACGTGGTCCTATCCCGGGCGAGCTGACCCATTCGTAAAAAATCGTTTAATCAGGTCTTGGAAGAGGAGCAGCTCAAAGGTGTTTACGTATTGGACTTTGAAATCAAGGTGCAGGTGCGGTTAAGTCACCTGCTAGACATGGTGGTTATTTTAAATTCTTCCCACAATGAGAGAGGCCAAGAAGTTAATAATTCCTTAATATTAAATTAGACTTAGGCTAACAGTTTTTCAGGTTTAGATTTTGAGGTTTATAACTTTTTTCTTACTTTCTTTTCAGCTTTATTTTTTCAGTCAGTTTTTCTTTCTTCATTTCCTTCTCCTCCTCTCGTCCTTTTTCTATCTCTCTTTTTTCCTTTCATAAAATTATTTTTCTACCGACATCAAAAAGGAGCCGATACACAATTAGACTGTATGATTTTTAAATTTTGTGTGTTACCTTATAACTTTTTACTGGGGGAACCGATTTCGATGATTCTTTTTTTATTTGGAAGCTGGTGCTTCACATGTGGTCCCATATAATGAGTTATTCTTAATAGTTTATATTGAAGTCAGTTGTACAAAATTTTTAATTTTAATTTATTTCTTCTAGAATACGAACAATTGGTGATGGAGTCAAGATATCGTCATTGTTGACCGGTGTGACCGTTTACGTGAGGTACAACGAGACTGTGATCTTAGTGCCGCATTCTTATATGGACGTGTTGTGCGGAGAATGTGTGGGAAGAGACAGAAGCTATTTAGATTACGTATAATTACATAGTCAAGGCGTTTGTTTATGAACGCGTGTTTTCTTGTAACACTTCATTAGCGTGAAAGTTATGTGTAATGTTTATTTAACTATTGTTTGTAAAATATAACTTTGTTAAGATGAGCCATTTTGTTTATGATTTAATTTACAGAATTATAATATAATGAAACCAAGTATGTAAGTGGCTTACTGCGCAGTTGAATATCAATTAACCTACCGATAATAATAAAAAGAACTGTGAATATCCTGATAATTATTTTATTCAATCCTGGTGATCTTGGGGGGTGATCGTGGTCCTTCATTGCTGGCCGTATGAGGAAGCTCAAGGTCGCTCAGCGAGCTATAGAGAGGGCTATGCTCGGGGTTTCTAAACTTAAAAATGAGGATATCCGCAGTAGAACCAGAGTAACTGACATAACTCAAAGAATTAGTAAGCTGAAGTTCCAGCTTCGTAACGGTAGGCGAAGTGTAGGGCGACCCCTCACGAGATGGAGTGACGACCTGGTGAGACATGCAAGAAGTCGATGGATGCAAGTGGCTCAGGACCGTGCTTTGTGGCATTATTTGGGGGAGGCCTATGTTCAGCAGTGGACTTATGAAAGGCTGTAATGATGATGATGATGATGATGGTGATCTTGATCAGGAAACTAAGATAAAGTTATTAAATTATTGTATTGTAGTCGGTCCTTGATACGAGTGCAAATTTTCAAGTCAATCGCCCGTCTACAAGTTGCAACTTTCAAGTTACATTAAAAGATTCCGTTACGTAGATATAAAAGCTCAAAATAAAATAGTTCTATAGCTATTTACACGTACTCGGCGGTTAAGGAAAACAGTGTAAGGTAACCTGAGTCTGTTGAATAAAAATATTTCGAAGACATGTGAAGTTCGCCAACACCAAGCAGCGCGGCGGCCGTACGCCATAATACTCTCAGAAATTAGAGGGAGAGAAAGAGAGAGAGAGAGAGAGAGAGAGAGCAGAATGAAAGAAAGGGCCTGAAGTATATAGACTGTAACTTTATTAAATATGATATAATATGATGAGACAAAAGGAAATCACTATTACCCACAATCATTAGTTTTGTACCTCACTTTCGAGAAGGCATTAAAAAAAAGCAATTTTGAAGAAGACAATCGTTTTTGGGCTCACTAGAATCTATAACGTAATTTAATATTCTTACACATAAAAAAAGATACCAATTTATTATAGTAAACGGCCCAAAAAGGTTTTTTTTAAATCTAACCGGAACCCTAAAATCTGAAAAGAGAAGATCTGATTTGATATTCGTGTTCTGGTTAATGTGATAAGAAAAAAATAAGGCGTGTAACGAAGAACGAACTACTAAGTGAATTTTCCACAACTCATAAAGTACATATAAATGCTGAATGTACCTACAACTTTGTTTTATACTGATAATTATTGAACAGTGCACTATATTAACTTATAATACTGGTGAAAATTAATAGACGATCGCTTGTAGTTTGTTTTTAGGTTATATATATATATATATATATATATATATATATATATATATATATATATATATATATATATATATATATATATTACTATAACCTAAAAACTTTATATTTTAATTGTTAATTAAAGTATGAAAATAATTTCTTATTCCTTAATAAAATATGAGAACAGTATTTCCATTAGATACAGTAAAACTAATATTACTATTCTAATCTATGTATAGATCATAAGTAATAAATCGATATGTATTTCCCTTTTTACTGAAAACGAGGCATTCCACCTTAGTAGTCACGGGTGACAACGCATCTGCATTTTGATTCGCAAACGAGGATAGACGTAAATGTCTATGGGCCACAGCAACCACTTACCATCAGGTGGACTGTGTGCTCGTTTGTCACATTATCCTATAAAAAAAATTAAGTTACGCCACAAATTGTGGTGGTACTCATTTCCCATACAAAAATAAATTGTCTCCTTTCGGTACACTTCTTCACTATGGTTCTGAAAAGGACCCATGTTTTGTATCGGTTTTTGAGATTCATCCATCCATCTACTACAGCATTTAAAATACAACTGCTTAAAACAGGCCTCCCCGATAGATTGGCTCATCGGTCACTATGCCTCCATTATAGTTGTGTGTGTTCCTCCTTGTCGTAGTTGTCACGCTTGGCAGGTGTGTTGGTAAACGTAGTTCCTTAATTTTTATTCAGCTGTAATCAAAAAGATACTGCTGTCCATCTGTTTCAGTTTCCCTCTGTTGCATGTTACGACATCCCAAAGGTTAGCGGCTATTGTTTACACACGGTTAACCCTAAAATTTTCACGTTCAAGTCAAAGGGGAAGCCTTCGTGACGTTGTAGTTGAGTTTTATTTTTTGGCCAATTCAAAAAATGAGGTCCCCAATTCAAGTGTGTGTTTTTTTTTGTTGTATAGATGTTCCGCGACATACTTATTCGTCAATCATATACCGATTTGGATTAGCCTTTTTTAATAATTTGACTATACTGCAGGGGTTTAAATAAAAATATATATATCAGGCGGCAACTTCAAAGGAAATCTGACGTGTACTTAATTTTATAGGTATTTACTCAGTGCTTTAGAAAGGAATCGTTTGATGTTAAGAAATGAAAGTTTCTTTTTAATATAATTAATAGAATCAGGCGTTGCTTTGCGGAAATCCATTATATAAAAGCTTTTAGAAAAATTAACTTCGCAAATATCCGCGTTATAAAATAAAATGATGTGTCTTACCTAGTATGAAGAGCACCTCCCGCCCTCCCTCAATTGCGTGCACTATCCCCGTCACCACTAATCCCAGCACCGCTACTACCAATATCACTATACTAGGCAAGACACACCACTGACGATAATACGACACGTGTTTCGCCTCTACACGAGGCATCCTCAGGTGATATAGACTCTACGGTGGCTAACCGCTAAGTGAGCGGCGAGCTTTTTTTTTTGCGCCCGAAGCAATTGGAAAATGGGCTACCCTTTACGTAGGGAGGCGGAAAATGCATTACGCATACCACGATAGGCTATCCATCGTGGCTATGGGGGACTCACACCTAACCGGGGAGCCTAAGTGATATCCCCTAAAAACCGCCTTTGGGGACTGACAACCAGCTGTTTAAAGCTTCACATGCCGTGTCGTAAAGCGACCCTCTTTTGGGAAAAAGAGGGCGCAGGCGGCTATAAGCCGCTGAGGGAGTGCCTACGAAGGCATTTTAATTATGAATAAAATTTAATTATGAAAAATTAATTATGAATTTGACTGAGCCGCCAGGAGGCAGTTCAAGTCGTTTGACAGTTTGTTTGGCGGATCCGAGAGAGAGTTTCTCGGCCTGCGGACGCGATAGCGGATATTTATGATAGTGGGGCTGCATAACTAGCTGCCCCACGAATTAATGTGTTATTATGCGACTCTGAGACTTTGAAAAAGTTTTTAGAGAGTTTTTTAATAAATTGTTGTATTGTTGGGATTTCTAAGTCCCGATGAAGGTCGGCATTACGGACGTACCAAGGTGCGTTCGTAGCTCGACGACAGAAGTGATTTTGGCCTATTTGAAGTTCGTTTATGATTTTAGAGTTAGCGTGTGCAAAAATAGGGGCCGCGTAAGACATTACCGGTCGTATACAAACCTTATTAAGGGTTCGCTTATTTCTTAGAGACATTTTACTATGTCGACCTAACATACTGTTAAGCCTACCTAGATAGAACCGTGCTAGACGGGTGACTCTTTTGATATGAGGCTCGAAAGTAAGCCTTGTGTCAAGGGTGACACCTAAATATTTAGCAGACGTATGCCAGGGAACTGTGGTCTCTAACATACGTATTGGTGGCATATTTTTATTGATTTTGAATCGGCGTCGTTTCCAATCGAATTGAACTGCGGAGCTCTTATCCGGGTTCACATCGATGCGCCATTTTTGGAATCAAGCCCCTAGGTCATCGACTGACTTTTGGATCTTGTTCCTTACGAAAGGTAGTGTGTGACCTTTAAAGTAAAGGGCAGTGTCATCTGCAAATAGGGAGAGCTGTACACCATTTGACGGGATTGGAATGTCGTTGGTGTACAAGATGTAGAGGAGAGGAGCAAGTACTGATCCCTGAGGAACACCAGATTTGATGGGTCTCTGAGAGGAGAGCGTGCCTTCGTATCTAAAACGAAAGGTACTATGTTGTAAGTAAGACGCCACGAGACGTACTAGACGATCGGAGAGACCTACTCTGTATAGTTTAAATATAAGGCCTTCGTGCCAGACTCGGTCGAAGGCTTTGGCGATGTCGAAAAAGACCGCGATGGTTTTATGTCGACGAGGATAAAAACCGCTGAGGATGTATTCCACAATGCGGTGAACTTGTTGGGGGCAGGAGTGTTTCGCTCGGAACCCAAATTGGTGGGGGATGACAATAGGGTCACCGCCTGTGGGAAACAGATAGCGCCTCATTCGATTTTGAATGACTCTTTCAAAGAGCTTGCCCATGGCCTTGAGGAGGCTAATGGGACGATGACTGGGGGGAGGTTGAGAGGCTTGCCTGGCTTGGGAATACCAATGACAGTTGACTCTTTCCACGTAGTTATACAAAATAGAAAACGACATGTTTCGACAATAATATTATCTGTACTTTATATACACTTCGTTCACCCCGCGACATTATTTCATGGCGGGCTTTGAGTATTAAAATTAATGGGGGACTGACTAATTTCTTTTTTTTTTATAGTATGCGGATTGACCTCAGGACTCGTTGGATGGAGTTTAGCCATTGGCGCAGGACAAAATCGTATTACCTTATACGTAGTAACTAATTAGATACCTTTCTATATTCTAATATATAAATATATTTTTTTGTTTGTTCGTATATAATGCGCTACCATACCGTTCATGAGATTGCGCTAAAACTTAGTCAACTTATCGCTAACTAATAAACTTACAATAGATGGCGCGCGTATCGAACTGACAAATTTATTTATTATTATATAGAGACTACCTCTTCACAAATTTTAAACGACATTTTGACAATTTTTTTTTCCGGGTACCATCTACAGCAACACGAAACAACCAAACCCCCCCCCCCCCCTCCGCCTTCGTCTTATTATTTGCCCGCCATTTATTTAGGTGTCACCCTAGACACAAGGCTTACTTTCGAGCCTCATATCAAAAGAGTCACCCGTCTAGCACGGTTCTATCTAGGTAGGCTTAACAGTATGTTAGGTCGACATAGTAAAATGTCTCTAAGAAATAAGCGAACCCTTTATAAGGTT